TGTTTTAGCATGGTTACAAGTCAAGTCAAGTCAATGCTCCACAGGCCGGCTTGAGGGTATTTTACCAGCCACAGTCCTACTAAACATATACCTCTACTGACATGCTAGATCTTTACATTCTGCCTTTCTAATTATTGCCGTCTTAATTGAAACAGACCCCGTAAAAATACCGGCGTGCGCTCATGTACCTAGACGGGCCTTCAGTACTCCCAGCACCGTGGAGATACCGGGAGCCTACGGTGGTCTGCTTGCCAGGCTACCATGTTTCAGGCATCATCATTCCTAACCAAAAGTTTTATCTGTCGCTAAAGGTGAGCTTCTAGTGTTACTTAATTGATTGATGGATTGACCTAATGTACCTCTTTATGGATAAGGTAAGAGGCAAAAAGGGATCAGGCCTACACAGCCAGCCTTATAAACATGAGGGTCATTGACCTCAACATTTCACGTTACTACACATGCCAAGACGACCTGACATAAATGTAGAAGTTTTTGTTGTTGTTTAAGTTTCATGATGCGTGCCCTTACAATGTCGAGTTTTCAATATGTGTGCGAATTCCTTAACCGTGCATTTCTATACGTATGTATGCAATGTTGGTATGATAATAAAGAATTGAATTGAATTTCCCTCACACACATATTTATACATAGGTGTAAAACCGTGCGATTCCAATCAGTGTACCTTATAAAATTCCTCACTCCAGTGCTTCACGGCAATCACTTTGCCATCATTGGAACGGTTTTAACGTGAAGTCATGCCAGCATTTCTCACATTACAGCGGACCTCATAGTGCACAGACACTTACAGACATCTGTTAAAGATGTCACTAACGTCAGTAACGTGCCTGTAATCTAACCTTGAACATGACTCAGTCTTGAACATGAGTCAAGTGAACACGAGGGGGCTGTGTGGGCGGGTGTCCTAACGAGACGCACGCATCCGCAAATTCAAGCAGGAAACTTCGGTAAAACTTCTATAAAACGCGCTTCCTTATATGCCGTACATGGCACTCGTTAACTGTTGCAGGAATGTGTATGTTGACTATGACAGCTATGATCCAGTATTTTATCCCTGCCTCCTGGTGTTGTATTCCGGCAGCTGCACGGGGCAAGTCCAAGTTCATAACATGCCGGACTGATGCAGTCATGGTGCTCGTGCTGCGTTCAAACATTTGAACTTGACTGCATGGAACAATGGTTAAACATGGGGGCGGCGCTGACTCGGCGAAACGATATAAGCTATTGTCATCAGCAGTACACTTGCGAAGTCAAGTTTCCGTGCGATAAATTATATCAACTTTATTGCACAAGAACTGTACAAGGTACAAAGTATGCCATCTATTGCTATGTAACTAACATACTATGCTATGAGACTAGTCTACCTTACAACGACTATGTAATATAATATATAAGAATGTGCTTTGGTATTCTGACTGTTGTACTGTAGCCCAAGCAATGCATTGGACGGTAAGTAATAGTATATAGCAGTAGCGTGAAGGTTGATCTTTATATGAAGTCGTGGTTACGTGGTAGTTCGGCAGCTACGAGCACGGCTGGCCTATTAGTACCAAAACATGTCTGATGGAATCTTGTCAATAACTGTGAAATCTCAATAATCACGGTCACTAGTCTAGAGGCCTACTCTAACCGGGCCATGTGAACACCACCACCCTCCCAAACCTCGCAGCTGTCCGATTTTATTCCCATGTCTCATCATTAAGGACTAGTGTTGAAGATTTGGTTACAAGGGCCCGTTATCTGGGGTGTTACGGGCCGGCTGTGGGGGAATGTTTGACTAGTAGTTTTGCCACACAAGTGTTGATACTCGGTAGTTTTTGCCACAGAAGTGTCGGTTCTCGGTAGCGTTTGCCACATAAGTGTAGCTGACTTTGTAAAGTTTGTATGTCTGGAGTTTGTTACCCTGTTGCAGTCTGTGGGTCAAGGGTTAAGCGGGGGTCTCAGACCAGTGTCAACAGCGAGGTTCACACCGCCCTGAGATCCCGTATGTACAGTAGGAACCATGCGTGGCGCGAAAATGGACATTTCACGGTTATTAACACTGCCTGCCATTCTGATAGCCCTGGTACTACATCATAGCTTTGATATAATAGCCTTCTTTGGGCTTCGGGAGGCGATTGGAAAGACTAGAAATTGGCCAAAAAGAGAAATAACATGCCGGGGGAGTTGGTCCACCAGAGTACAGTTTGCCAAACCCGAACTGTACCCTCTGGCGGGACAACTCCTCTGGCATGTGTCTCTCTATTTCCACTCTTTCCAGCCGCCTCCCGAAGCCTGGTAGAGGCTAGGTATAGCTTGGAATGTTGGTTCCTCGTAGTGGAAGATATTGGAAATTTGTGATTGTGGGATTTTCCTCACGTTACAGAGCTGCTCCCGATGTATTACACAGCCTATATGGACTACATATAACGCGCTATCCTGCATGCGGAATTAGGAAATGTCAATAAATGACCTGCAAAACAGATCGATGGTCCAATACAATTTGCGGCTGTTATAAGGGTATATGCTGACGGACGGTGTTTATAGATATCAGTTATCAATACTTTCTTTTAGTTCTACAGCAGAGGAAGCTTTAATACAATATGCCATAATTAATCACAAAGTGTGGTCAATGACTTCGGAAACTAATGCTTGCTTAATTATGTTTGAAGGGTCCGTGTATCTCGTGGCACATGGCTAGCTAATCCTCACCAGTCTAGACTAATGGGGATTGAAAAACAGTAAAATTTAGCCAAAGACTGGAAGAGTGAGAAAAATTGGCGGGAGGGAATGCAGTAATCTCCAAGCAGATCTTTTGGTGGGGGTAAGACAGTATCAAAATTTGGCCAGTCTGTATCCATTTCCCCACCCACTTTTTGGCCAGTCTGTATCCATTTCCCCACCAACTTGGGTGGGGAAATGGTTACAGACTGGCCGATTTGATACTGTCTTACCCCCACCAAAAGATCTGCTTGGAGATTAGGAATGCAGTACTATAATCTTCGAGTTCATTTGCTCTTCAGGGGGAGTCTCCTGGCCAATTATTCTTCCTTTTTTGCCGTACCCCCGTAGGGAGGTCTGGTGGAGGTAAGTGCATGGTAAGGGGTACAAAAGAACGAACAACTGAGATCACACTAGATGGCACTGAGTCTTCAGCACAGGTGTGACAATAAGGACATATGTGCGGTAGTGTGAAACAACATTGCCCGGGGGCGTAAACATCACTCAAGGACTCTGTCAGGCTTCTCTCAGGGCGACATCGATGACAAAATCTATCAAAATAGACGAACAATTTGCTCTAAAGTCGGCCAGAGAAATCCTAGTTTGCATATTTCTATTTTATTTTTCTAGGTTGTCCCCTCGCAGTGTTATACCGCTGCTTTACAGTTGGGCCCTCTGAGTTTCTTTCCAATGTTGGGCGTACATGTAATATATAATTTCTGCAACCCCTACTAGGAGCCCGGAAAAAGACTACGAACAGACATTGTTTGTAGACTTTATGGACCAGTCTGGGCACAAGGGGCACACATTAGGACCCACGGGTCAGTACATTTCGCCAATCAAAAACTAGGTTACATCAGAGGGGCATACTAATGACGTGGCCATTAGCCCCGCCGCCATTGGTGCACCACCCCTGCCCTACTTCCCTTGGGTCAGACGGGTTATTTCTGTCCGGTCAAACGCCGAGTTCAACCGTCCAGCCATAAACGCGAATAGCTAGTACTGTATTTGCCCCACTCCAACGCCACAGTGTAGCTAGACGGACCAACTCGTAACTTTTTGTGTCGATAAACATCTAAGAAAGGGCGGTGGCCGGCTGTACTTGGCAACATTACTTCCAACATGGTTCCAATTAACCCGACGTTTCCCCTCTATTGGAAGTGGTAATATATAAACAAAACACAGTCAAAGGTTTCTTAAGGTCTTGTAAAAGTGACCTAAGACGTGAAATCTCTGAATTCCGATTCCGTTTGATAGATCTAGAAATACTTTACTTTTTATACCAATAGTTACAATTTGGTCATAGCAATAGATTTTTTCAGACGCATAAGCTACCAGTGAAATAACATGAGCGTTAGCTGCGTTAGGAACAGAAAATAAGGTTTGTTAGGTGGTCCTGTGCTGAAAAAGTCTGCCCAATGATTTCAGACCCCCCCCCCTGCCACGCCCCCACCCTACACCGTACCCTTGACATGCTCGCCTGTAATGATGGTGCAGAGATAACCCCGCCTGTGTTATTCAAGGTTCGCTGCATTATAAGATAAGGGCGTATTATGAAAATAAACTTTGCTACATTTTCTGCGACATATGAAGACTGTCAACCAGGCCTGACTCTCAATAGTGGTATGTTTCGAAGGACGTCAACTGGGTTGATTTCTTCATACAAGTAGTACGTAGGACCCCCCTCCCCGGGCAACATACATACCATGTATCATGTAGAATCATTGGCGGCAGATGGTTGTTTTCATGCAACATGTGTTTCTGTGCTCTCCTTGCATTTTTTCACAACGTTACATTCTACAGCTCTCAACGGATTGAACTGGTTTAACCTGCATTCTTACGTCATCATCGTTTAGCAAATGACGCATCATAAAAGCGCCATTACACAACACAACACTTTTGATATAAGTACATACCAGACACCATCAGAGCAGATGAAGATATGATATCAAACTATTGAAAACCTTTTAAAGCTGAGCTGACGAGTCCAATTATGTCATGACGTGTCACAGAGCGGCGCTGCGACGCGTCACCGTCGCGATAACACGCGACACTACCCGACAGTCTGCGGAACTTCTAGTCTGGTCATTGTGACGGCTGTCCGTAGAGACAAACAAACAAACAAACAAACAAATGTCCGAGTACATCGGTATAACAGCCCTTCGGCGTAACACACCAGCTTCGCAGGCACACGGCGCGGCGGCAGCTGGCTACATTACACCCTTGGTACATGTATAACTTAACTAAACGTATCACGAGGAGAAAGAACATGCCCCACTTACCGGATAACAGGCGTGGTCTTGAAGGGGTCTCCGGGCGGGGCGTCCCCCTCAGGCGGGGCGGGGCCGTCCCCCTCTCCCTCCGCCACCCCGTTGACGACCTGGATCTCCGGCACCGTGGTCGTCGGCATCGTCCTCTAGTTTTCCTACGAACACAGTCACCAGTCCTGGGTGTAGCTTCACTTTAGAGTAGCGTGTTGCACGGCAAGGCTTTTGGTAATCACATCCACACACACAGCTCGCTACTTCGCCAAGTACAGGTCGGTGTGGCTATGCTGTGTTCTGTTCTGTCTGCGACAGTCTAACGTGTAGTAGTACCCTATGTGACAGCAACGGAACTATTAATCTCGTCACACAAACACACGACTGTATCCTCCTGCAGCTGTTGCGTTCGTTGGTTGGTCCGGAGCAGGCCTGTGAAAGTATCGTTCCTCGGCTATCGTCCCGGTACGGTCGGTGCCGCCCCGCTCTCTCTACCCTATGGTATCCGCACTGCCAGGCTCTGCAGTGGTATTTCCCAGTCGTGCTGTCCTGTCGGTACAGCGGTAATGTATCCTCCGGGCTCCAGCCGACACCGCAGAAAACGTCAGCGGTGAAACGTTATCCGCGCGCTGCGGATGGATCAGTGCTGTGGCGTGTGGCTGGCTCCGGGCCGAATCTGCGCCGAGGTCCGGTATCCAGTTCCGACCTCAGGTTCTCCCCCTGCGAAGTATTTTCTCGGTGCGGCTCCCTAACTGGCGTTGCCTGGGGTTCCTGTAGTGAGGAACAGAAGTGGTGGTTAGTGCTGGGCTGGCTTTCTAGAGCGACTACGAAGAGAAAAATCCAGGAAGTCCCGAGTGCCCGATGGGCTGGGAGTGTGTGGCTGAGCTACTGATGTTTGGGGCAGGGGCGGGACCGGGTGGTATGTGCAGGGGAGGACTCCTCATGCCTGACGTAATAACCCAGCCAGTCATCATTCTTCACTGCGCAGTTGCACCCTGCACACCCCCGCTGTTTAATAGCATCGCCCATATTTTGTCATATTTCTGTATGTAAACTGGGAGGTCCGGTCAGTCAAAGTTTCTGAATGGGGGTCGCCGGGGTGTGGCGTGTGCGGGACTGAGACTGGGAGGAATGCTTTGATTCATCCATGCCATATGACAGACGACTTATTTTTACATTTTTACATAACTCTTTGCGCGTCATAACATCAAACAAAGTCACTGACAGATGTGAGATCAAGTTCAATAATATATCATTACAAACATAGACTACATGCTAAACATTCATTCTAATAAAAAATACCAGAAAAAAAAACAAGAAAACCCCCTTTCCTCACATAATATCACCCTTTCTTTAAATTCTTAAGCACAGTTTCTGTGCAAAGTCGCCCGATGTTGGAATAGTTCATGTCGGACGAGGGGTGATCGGTGTCAAGACCGCCAGGAATCTGGGAGGGGCGGTGCCCGAATCCTTGTCGGGGTGCCAGGGAATACCGCCCAACTCACACAGATTACAGGGATAAGGGACGGTTCAGAAGATAACCCGGGGGATGCTCGGTGTCCACTAGGGGCAACGCGGTATTGATATGGACTGCGTGTCTCTATAACACAAACCGATATGGACCTACGCGACGTGAAAAGCAATGTTCTCTGTAAATGGGTTCAACTGGGCAAGTTTCCAAGTCGCCCCGGCCGACTGTTTTGTCAACTATGTACAAGTGGCGCATGTTCGGGGGGAACAAACGGGTCGGTATGTATGGACTCGCACGCTGACATTTTACATGCGACGTTTCACAGCACAGAAACGCAAGTAGTCGCAAAAGACTGTGAGTCAACTCCGCAGTACATTGTTATGATATTACAGTTTCTATTTTGCGTTCTCTTGACATCATATCGCCAGAATGACTTTTAAATGTTGAGCTGAGTCAAGTCACAAGGGAACTTGTCATTACATTGTATGTGACTATTACATCATTGGTAATAAAAATACCTCAACCTCTTTTCATTGTACGGACTGTCTCCACCAACAAAGCTCATTTCTATGCCTGAAAGTCACAAAAAGTAGTTCTTTTGCTTGAATCTGTTTGATCTAACAGGTCAAAACCCAACAGAGTTGCCCTTTTGTCGCTACTTCCCGTCGTGCCAACGAAAAGTCTAGCCAAGCCCTGCCGGGTAAGCTGTTATACTGAGTTTCATCGTTCGCTTGTTGACTTCCGAGTGCAGCTGTTGACTTGACAACTTTCCAGATCTCACCAGTATATATATTAGTCCAGTCTACGGCTTAGACCGAATAAACCAGCGAAGGTGCCATCGTGCGCTTTCCGCGTTACTATTCTTCACTAAAAAAAACTTTTCTTGAATGTTCATTAGTGACCACTCAAGACATCTTTATGGGTAATGTGAGGCTGTCCTGACAGGTTGTAGAAAGGAAAATCGTGAACTTTTCTGCCTTTTTGTCGTCCTGAGTGTCAGAAATACGAGGAAGACAAAAAACATGACGATCTCCCACCCTCCTATATGCTGTAGATTATTGCCGGGCACAGCTGACACTATAATGTATATGATATATTTTAAAATACAGTAGGAGATTGAAAATATTGGATTTATGCTATGCACATCAATATAGAAGCCATATCTAACATTTATGGCTAATATATACGAGTGTAGTTAACTCTATGCAGCAAATTCAACTTTATGAGACTGCGACGTTCGCAGATGACGTCAGGGTCTTTCAGGAAAACGTTTTCCCATCAAAGTCAATGTCATTACCTCGGGACCCGCGGGACGTCCCCTATTATCGATTATCGCAGATTCCCGGAACAGGTTGGTTTTACAGGAAGGAGAAAATATCGGTAGAAATTCGTGGATCGATAATTTCAAGACATGCATTAAAGCGGTTTCTAGAAGAGGTCGATTGAGGTCTTCGGTAGTCCCGTATTATTATTATCATTATCATTACCGTGGCAATAGGCGGAGTGCTGCGGCATGTTTTGCCGCGGGTCGGTCTCGTTTATAAACGTCCAAACGTAACAAGTTGAACCTGAGCGTCAACTGTGGGAGCTATGTGCGGGGACGGTGACCCTGGCTACGGTATGTGAGGAATCATGTACCGGGCTTGGCTGGGACGCGCGCCCGCGTCATTGGGACGGACATGGGCATGGGCAGACGGGCGGGGAATACTAATCATTCTGCGAAGACATGGATGTTCTCTGCCCTAGAAATTGCATTGTATGGTAGCATTCGCAAATCAACTTTGCCGCTAAGATAAAATTACTCCACCAGTATCTGATACCCTGATCCTCAACCAAAACTACATTTCCATACCTGTGTGTACCGAATAAGAAAAGGACAGGACCATGCAATCATGCTATGAAGACATGAACGTTCACTGTCCGACTGATTATGGTAGCATTAGCATATGGCCGCATATCAACTTTGCGGCTACAAACGACTAAGATGAAATGACTCTAACAGAGATACTCTTATCACCATCCAAAACTACATTTCCGTAGGGCGTGTGTACTGAATGTGAAAAAGGACAAGACTAATGAAAACACCTCCTGTTGTTGTTATTTGGAACGGCAGCAGACAGAAGTTGGTAATCATAATGAACTTTTCCTGCGGCTGGGGAGATCGGGTGACCGCTGTCGCACGTCGGTCACGCAAATCGCTGATGCCCAGAATACTTGCACCAGTCGTGTCAACTGCAAAACATCCGACCCAAACACAGACACAGTACCACTGATCCTAGCCTGGAAACCAGACTATTGCCAGGGTCCTTACAAAGTCTTACAAGCCATCTCTTCGGGACTGGGGCAAACATACCCTTGAAGGCCTTGAAATTTCCCCGACCCCCAAGGAAACATTGTAGCTCAACTACCACGCAATGGTGTCCCAGTAGGGCCAGGCTTGAAGCCCACAAGGAGTAGCCTGGTATCCAGCCTTGTTAGCGGACTAAAGCTAACAAGGTGAAGGTTGGATACCAGGCTACACAAGGACACAAGAGCTGCTCAATGTAGGCCTAGGCCTTTGACAATAGTCTGCCTCCAAGACTATAGAGATCTGAGTTCCACAGGAACGATGTGGATGTCCTGACAGTGATACAGAATAGCTATAGGACATGCCATGGTCAGGGACATCCCGGCTAGTGTTACTTCAGTTTGTTTAATCAGATGTGAAATATTATCTCATAACCAAACATCTCCGTTACTCTGTAATACATCTCTTTTTACGACCGGAACAAAAGACCCGTTTTTCGCTGCGGGAGAGGAAAATTGTAGACTTGACATTGTTCAGGACACCAACGGTGTAACCAAGTATCATGCAATTCAGGGAATTTGGGCCCTGAATTTTGAGTTTTACATTTTTTTTCTAATACCGACCATACCATTAATTCCGAAACGACTCCTCTGACCTGTATCTTACTGATGTTGCTGCAGAGTTCCTTCTATCTGTCAGTATGAATATTCGTGGCGTCTTTTGTGGTATGTAGGAGATGCTACTAGGCCAAAAGTTAGTACTCAAACTGTGTACCGGTACATCAATGGTGTATGTAGAGAGAGAGGTCGGTAGTTAGATGGGGATGTCACCATACAGGATATGTAGTAGGGCTGCGTACCTAAACGTAACATCAGGTACAGGTACAGGTACCGGTACAGAGGTTTAGGTACAGGTCCGGACCTGTACCTGTACCTTTACCTGAACAATTTGACAAATTAACATGTGTTCTTCACTTTTTCAATCATGACACAGAAACAATAGTAAAGTGTTGACAACTTGTCAGTATCTTTATTCAGAAAACATCAAACATAACTAAGTTAAACTATCACAACCCTGGATCAGCCACACTCTCGCGATGTCTCGTGAGACTGAGGATCTCAAATCAATCGACGGTGTTTACGTCTTTTTCAGTGCTAATTGTTCGTCTTTGTGGTAGGATTTACCTATCTTTAGTCATATACATGGTGTAAACTAGCTTTTTCGGTATATACTCGTTACTTCAAGATCCGGTATTTTGGACCTGTACCGAAACGATTTTTACGGTATTGGACCGGTACAGTGTACCGGTCCGCAGCCCTAATATGTAGTGGCCGGTCCCGTCGTGCCCTTCCCCCACACCCCTAGTTAGACCCCCCACCCCTGGGATATCTGCCCGTCCCCACAGCTCTAGGCCCCCACCCCTGAGATATCTACTGACCGGTCCCGCCCTCCCCTCCCCAC